CAGAGGCAACCTCTCCAACAACGAAGACTCTGCCAAATGTCGGGGTTGCACTGCAATGAGGGAGACCCTATGCCATCTTAGCACTCAATGCCCAAAATTGAAGTCCATGAGGATATGGCAACACAACAAGATTTGTGAGCACTTGATCGCTGAGGCCAGTCATAAAGGCTGGAAGGTTCTGCAAGAACCTACCTTGGTTACGAGCAATGGTGAACATCGGCAGCCCAATCTAATCTTCCACCATCATGATAAAGCAGTGGTTGTTGACGTAACGGTTCGCTACGAACTTTCGAACAACTCACTTCAAGAAGCTTTCGCTTCCAAAGTGGAGAGATATGAATGGCTGGCTCCACAGATAGAAAAACTTACTGGGGCTACCTCCGTGGTGTTTCCCGAAAACACGGAGGTGCTCGCCGATCTAGATATCAGATCAAAGTACTTCGAAGAGTTCTTGTGTAGGCGAGCAATCCTCTACACTTTGGACCTGCTGTGGAGGCCAAGCAATGAAACATATCTAACAAGGCTTGCACCCTAATTCGTCTCTTTTTCCGGTGATCTTCTCCTGGTCTGCTGCCCAAGCTAGCTGGATTGAGGAATCTCATTCCATAATGATTAAGCTGTGTATGACATCTGTCGGTAGTGTCTACCCGCATGTAAAACTGGGTAGTAATAAATATCGATAGCCAAATGCCTCATCATCTAATTACTGATGCACATGAATGGATTAACGAGATTCCCACTGTCCGTATCTACTATCTAGCGAAACCACAGCCAAGGGAATGGGCTTGGAAAAATCAGCGGGGAAAGAATTTATTTTCTATCTTTCTTTCTAGTTGATTGTGTTGAGTTTAATGATATGAATTATATGTTATGATACATTGATATGACAATGAAAAAATTATTGTTTGATGATATATGAAGACATAATAATGTAGACTGTTTGTTTAATCATCAACAATTTTTATTTTTATCTGGAAAGAAAATTATAATTCAATATTCTGTGTTGGGATTATTGTTGAGTGATAACTATATATAGAATAAATGGAAATTATATCAGAAATGTTCATTATGTATGAATTACACATTTATAAATCATATAGTATTCTGTACTGAATTAATATCAAAGATAAATATAAAAGAAATAGTCTATATAATCACTTTAGTCATATAAATAAGATGTGTTGATATGGGTATTCTAAGGAGTTGTGGTAATGATTAATGAATGAAAGTATAAACATGTATTACATAACAAAGAAATAAGGATACAAGTACTATTAGTATTAATATTATGATAAAATAAATATTTGTGGAAACTATTATTAACAGAGAACCAGAAAGGAGAATTTAACCAGACCTATCAAAACAGTTTTAGTGGGGAAGCCAAACCCAAAGACAGTCAGAATAACTTCTATAACAACAAGACCAGTGGTCAACATTTCAAAGTTGAAATAAAGGTGTTAGTTCTGCAACCTACAAACAATAACAAACTTATCTGGAAGTGGAAATGACATTTCACAGTACAGGAAGTGTTCAACAGAATGAGTTATAAAGTGAAAGTTAATGGGATGACTAAGGTCTATCATGTCAGTCTGTTGAAGAGGTACTTCAAGAGGGAAGAAGACCTAACAGGTGTAGCTATTCATGATGTTAGAAAAACATGTAGTTTAAGAAGTCTTGATAAAAATTAATAAAAACCCTATAACCCAAGTGCTTTCGAAAGGTGGACCTTTCTTCTTCAGGGGCAAACTGGGAATGGTCTTCACGTGGAGTTCATCTGCTTCATCAGGAAATGTCCTATCATCAGTAACAGTCACATCAGTGGTAGTAACTTCATCAAGAGCTTCACCATTTCCATTCTCAAAACTGAGTAGAGTTTCTTCTTCGACAGTGGCTTTTTCAGGTGGCACGTCTTCAGCAGCATCATTTGTCCTGTTGTTCACATCGTCCCAATTGAAATGTCCTGGACCATGATAACGCCAAAGCCTGATGAATGCACCACTTTTGACTTACCTCGCCGACCACATTTTATCCAGAAAGTCACGACTGAGAGACGATCCACTATGTCATATGGGCCTTACCATGGAGAAGACAACTTAGGAGACTTCCCTTTGGTCTTCCAGGGATTATACAACCACACCTTGTCTCCTGGTTTAAAGCTGACTTCAGTAGATCTCTTATCATAAGATAGCTTCATTGAATCAGCAGACGTTTTCAAGTTTGAATGCACTTGATGGTGAATATCATCCATCCTTTCCGATAACACTTTCACAAACTCTGACACATTTTCAGGCAACTCTTCATAAGGTGGGCTTCCTGTTAATAGATCCACTGGCAACCGAAGTTCCCGACCAAACATCAACTCTGCTGGAGTGTAACCAGTGGTTTTATGCTCTGCTGTCCTATAGGCCATCAACAGTGGAGGGAGTAAGACATCCCAGTCATCTTGACGGCTATTACAAAACTTTGACAATTCCTGTCCCAATGTCCAGTTGTACTTTCCTACCATCCCATCAGACTGTGGGTGAAGTGGTGTTGTCCTCGTCTTTCGTATGCCCAACAACTTGCAGCTGATTCAAAGTTATGGCCTTGATCTGAATAGAGTTCGTGTGGCATAACAAATCTGAAGAAGAAATCACTAATAACCGAAGCTACAGTTGTAGCTTCCCGATTTGGTATTGCATATGCCTCAGGCCACTTGGTGAAATAATCCATCACCACACAAATGTACCTGTTTCCAGCACGAGTTCGGAGGAATGGACCAGCAATGTCAATGGCTACTTTTTCCATTGGTGCACCAACTTGATATAACTTCATTGGAGCACGTCCCTTATGCTTGAGTCTCCTTTTAGCACAACA